GTTTTGCTTGCCTTTACTGCAAACAGTTTGCACAACATTTATTTAGTTATTTCAGGTTGATGGTATTAGCAACTATCATGAATATTGGTATAAGTTGTCTCAGAAACATTATAAAATTGAGATATATTCGCCATCTCATTAAAAAAACTAAAATTATTTGATAAAATGCCGAAAAATGATCATGTTACCTGAAAGTAACACAGACCCACAGAGGGTTAATTTTTTTAATAGAAATATTAATTCTCATTAATGTTTTGTAACTTTTTGGTTTCCCAAGTTGCGAAATATTTTTATGCATTATTATATGTAGAATCATATTGATTTATTTTTTGAATATTAGTAATTTTTAAATACTAAATTTACACTTAGAATTAATTGTGCATAGAAATAAAAAAAAAAACATATAAATATTTGATATATGTTTGAATTATTATCGAGTAGTGTTCATGTATAAATGGGAAAGAAATAAAAGGAAGGAATAAAAAAAAGAAGAATAAGAATAAGAAGGAAGACGAATCCAAAGTTAACTTTCGTACTCTCGTTTCTAACTTACTTTATAGAGTTATATACTGTTTTCACAGCTTTAGAAAGTAAGTCTCACAAGAGAAGACGAATATTGTAGATAAAGTTCTAACGGTTGTTGCTCGAGCAAACATAGTCTTTCCTTTGCCAACTTAGAAGATACGTTCTTAGATTATACTTTATACGAATATACAGAACGAGTCAATAATTATTTTATTCTCGTTTGTAATAATTTTCCTATTTAACGATATTCTCCAATTATTCATTCGAAACTATTTAATAAAATAAAACAAAATAGAACAAGAGCATTTTAAACCAAAAATGTGAGAACAAATATGAGTAAAGTAAACATTTGTACAAAAACTTTGTAAGTTCTGCAATAAAATTATAAAACAAAAGTATTCTAATGAAAAAGAAAAGAATCATATTGTTAAATCGTTCAATAATAAATTACACATACTATATCAATTTAATAATTAAAATATATAAATTTGTACAGGATCGAGAAAATGTTTAATTAATTATATTCTTATTTATTTTGTTTGTTGTTTTCTTATTATCGAGGAGGAAACAAAATTGGAAAAATAATTTTAACAAAATTTCTGATACTCCACAATAGCCTTGAGTGAGAAAACTTTTTCGGTCGATTACTGAACGAAATGAAAATGTTCATCGCTTCCGAAATAGAAAACCATAGGGGCGGATGCACCCGCCCCCATGCAAACATAAACTGACTGGAATAATATTTGTTCGTCTCGCATGGTACGTCTCTCTCTCTCTCTCTCTCTCTCTCTCTCTCTTTTTCTGTCAAACACATAAACGAAGAAGATTCGAGATTTTCTATGTGTATAAGTAGGTATATGGTGAAAGAAAAGCTAATCCCGGAATGCAAGAAAATGCAAGACGATATTCTCAACGAGATTTAGAAATTTGCCTCGCTAACCATAAGAAATAACTAAGAAAATTTATCGAACTTTTCGAGTTATTTATATCATTGCAAATTTCGAGAACACACACACACACACGCATGCATTTGAAATTCATTCGATTCTTCCTTCTTCTTCTTCTTCTTCTTCACCTCGTATTTCGTTCAATGATACGTCAATAAAATCATCTTTTTTATTGAAATTAATATAGAAAATATATTTCTAAAAGATGCACATATTGTGCATTCAATATTTATATCCATTTTTTTATTGATAATATATATTTAAAGTGATCTTTTAGAAATAAATAATACTTTTATTTTTATTCCAATGGAAAATAACTTCGACAAAACAAAAAACACTAATTTATTCATTCAATTCTAATTACTGAACGAATTACACTTAATCTAAATTCGAACAAAGTTATGTACAATATTAAAATACTTTCATCATACATTAATCTCAATAGAATAAAAATGACAAATAGGAATTTCATTTAGAATTAAAAATAAAAAAACAAAAAGATCAAATTATCTACAAAATTTGATATGTTATTTAACTTAAACACCATATTAAATCCATCCTACTTTATATAATATATAAAAATATTGATATAAAAATATGAAGATATTTAATGTAATGATTGACAAAAAGAAAAATTGGATATATTCGATAAATAATTATAAATTATAAATAATAATAATAAAATGAATGAAATGCGCGCGAACGAACCGTTATGGTTTACCATATATATATATCCTCATTAACACTTCCTGTTTGTCTTTTTCCAGAGACGAGACATAGGATGGGCTCATCCGTGCGAGCACTCGTTCTACATTGAAGAGGAGGAGTACCGTAAGGGTGGTGGTGGTGGTGGTGGGAGGGCGGGAGGGAGGGGGAGGGTGGTAAAAGGCGAAGGAAAAAGGAAGGAAGGATGCCTGCCTCGCAAACCGCCGCCACTGAGCGGCGAAACGAAAGAGTTATGGTTTGTATTACGTCAAATGTAATATGCGTTTTCTCTAGTTAATATACATATACTATAGTTCATGGTGTGTATAGTATAATACTCGTTTTATAAACGATCATGAGCAACTTCTTCCACACACACACACACAACCCCCTCCCAACCCCCCAAACACACACATTTTCTCTTTTTCTTTTTCTTCTTTTTATATTCGTTGATGACACGTGTGTGTGTGTGTGTGTGGCTTCTTTTAATGTTTCATTCATGATCACGTGGTTTTAGTAATTTCCCCATCATCTAATATCGTATCAATATTAATTCATATATTAAATTATATATTAAAATAATATAATATGTATGTAATAATAT